TCGCGTTAGCAGGGTGAGCTCCTGTTTCCTCCCCAGTTCCTGTAAACCCAACAGTTCGAAAACTCACATGAGTAGATACTGTAAGTGGGTACTCTCACTCCGGTGGGAGGAAAAATGCTGGCGGCGCCTTGCAGAAAAGGAGTCGGGGGCAGTTGCTGGTAAGCGCGAAAAACCGCGCACCCCGAAAAGGGCGCGAAAGCAACGGAAACCCTGCCTCCTGCGCTCGCCAGCTGGGCTCTGCTCTAGGAAGGAGGGTCTGGCAAACCACTTCTGAAACAATTGCCTTGAAAACTGCAAAAGGACTTGTCCAAGCAGTCACTGCAGAGTCGGTAACGACTGAGTGCAGATAAACAAACAAACAAAAAAACAGTGATTTTAAGGCAAAGGATGCAAACTAACAACATCCTTTGTTGTCGTTGCAGACATCTGTAGTGCTAGAAGTGGAAGATGGCAGTACTTTTTGTTACTGGACTGATTTATAGAAATGTGTTTCCTCCTACCTGCTTTTAAAGCAACACTTATGCAAATGAATCAGACTTGAAGGACCCACTGAAATAACTAAAAACAATTCTTCCAATATTTAATTTGTATTAACAGTTATCAAGGAGGCAGGCCCTCTCACAGAACAGGCCATGAACGAGATGGAACTGGCTATAATTATACCTTAGATACTAGTGTAGTGCACAAAATCATTGCTGGAAAACCATTTAGGCTGTTGTTTCCAACTGCCTGCTCAGTGTGCAGATCTAAATTAGTGTATTATCTGACTCAACTATCATGATATAACTATATCATAGTTATAAACTTTCCCATTTATTTACCTAGATCATTAATAAAAACATTAAAGAGTAGAGGGTCCAGGACTGCCCTTGGCTCAGTACCTCATTCAAGTTTGATGAAGTAGCACTGATTAGCACAATTTCTGTAATGATTTCAGCCAGCTACATATCAACTTAAGTGTCATGCTATCCAGCCCATAATTAATGTGCTAATCAGAATGTCATGGGATATTCTGTGTCAAATGCTTTGCTGAAATCATAACAGAAGAGAATATCTGTAGCTCAGGGTTGAACTGTGGAGTCTTTGGTGCTCTCTGAGCAGGTTGTTTGCTTTCTTGAAACAGTATGAAAATTGCTCAAACAATGTGATATGGTTAGCCTAGCAAGTTTTGTTCCTGAGAAATTCCTGCACTGCATCAAAAGTGCTTATAGATTAATTATTTTATCATTTGCTCTAGAACCTTCCCAGGCATTGTTGTAAGACTAACTGATCAGTTGGATTGTCCTTTTCCCATTTTGTGAAGATAGGAACAAGATTTGCTCTGATCCATCATTTAATATTCTATTAGTTCCCCAGGATTTCTCAAAGATAATAGATAAAAGTTCATCCAGAACATCAGCTTGTTTCTTCAATATGCTAGAATGCTCTTCGAAATTTCCCAAGGAATATATATAATTTTGTTGAAAACTGATCCAAAATAAAAGCTGAGCCTTTTCTTTGTTATCTGTTAGTATTTTGTTGTTTTCATTGAGCAGCTACTAAGCTGATTCTTCTTTCTTCTTTTATTTGGAAAGTATCAGAAGTCGCTCTTTTTGTTGTTCTTAACATCATTCATCAACCTTGCCTCATTCTGAGCTTTAGCTTTCTCAACACCCTCTCTATAGTTACTGGCTATCTGTACTTTTCTTTAGTGACCTGTTTGTTTTCCTCACCGCCTATATGTATTCTTTTTCCCCTCTTAGAACTTCACTAAGATTTTTGTCAGCCACAGTGGTAGCTTTTGTTTTTCCCACACTAGAATTGTTTTTAATTAGACTTTTAGGCAAAATATTGCAAGAACATATTTCTCAAGACCTGAAGATACACATAAGCAGATTTTTGGTTGCAAAACTATTGAGCCAAATTCCAGCAACTGATGCTTATCAAACGTAAGCTCTACTTATATTACCATAAATGGCCTCTTTTTTCTACCCACTTTAGGTAAAGAGGTAGAAATGATTCTCTTTTGGTGGGTAATGGTCTGATCTAATATTTTTACATAAAATCAACTTTGATGTAGTAGTTAAAGTTCATGAAATAAATAAATAAATCTTGTTTATTTTCTACACAATGAAGGCCATGAACTTATCATCAGTACAGGTAGTCCTCATTTAATGACTGCTGTTCAGTGACCACTTGAAGTTACAACAGCACTGAACAAGGAGACTTACGACCGGTCCTCATAGTTATGGCCATCACAGCATCCCTGCAATTGCGAACTGGGTGCTGGGCAACCGGCTCACAATTATGACAGTCACAGCATCCTGTGGTCATGTGATCACCATTTGCGATCTTCACTGCCAGCTTCCAAAAAGCAAAGTCAATGGGAAGCCAACAGGTCGCAAATGTTGATCAGTGATCATGTGACACTGCACCTAATGACTGTGCAGGGCCTGACAGCAGGATTTGCTTAATAATGGCAACCAGAACTGCCACAGCTGGCATCATAAGTCAGCACAGTTACGTGATGTTGCACTACATAGTGTCATAGTTGCCTGTCCCAATTACAGTCATTAAGCGAGGATTACCTGTATTCTTTCTGACTGTTCACTGTCTCGTTTAATAGGCCCCCAACAGACCCACTTATTTCTACAGTGCACAAATTTTTACCTGAGGTCCTCACTGCTAGGATTTTTGTCAATCTCCATAGGATTCAGCTAAAAGTACTTATGATCAATGTCACTAAGATTTGACCAATGTGTTTTTACAACTTTTACAATTTTTTGTAAGATTTAGGACTCTGAAAGAAATTGTGTGAGAGCAGACTTGAGGATCGCTTTAAGCAAATCCTTTTCCATATTCACTTGGTAGATGAGGCAGTCCTGGGTTACAGAGGAGTTTTGCTCCAAGAATCCTTGTGAATTTTCATGCACACTTACTGTATATGTATTTGCAAACATGGCAGCTGCTGTTCTGCACATTTGCAAAAATCACACCCTCCACTTTTGCATCCACAAAATTATGTTCACCATTTCTTGTGCCTCTTTCCACAAAGTTAAATGTACATAAGTCAAGGCATACTTAACTTGGGGACTGCCTGTATAGCAAAGGAAAAATTCAGTTTGCAGTTTATTGGGAACTGTAAGATTGCTCCTGCTGTTAAACCTCATTCAAGACCAATGATGAGAAAGGCTGTAGGAGAATCACTTAAGAGACTGAAATACAACTACTATTTTTAAAAATGCAAATATATAACATTACATAGAGGCTTCAATTTGTATCCTGTTTGCTCACAGTACCCAATAAGGAGGCTGTTCCTGAAGGAGTAAAACTTGCTACTTACCCTGATGTCAGGTTCTACCTTTAGGCAGTATGGCTGGTTTTGGTACTGTTGTATTTCCCCTGTTATCTCAGCCACTTTCCTCCGTTTGCTAAAGTTGATAAGCTCTCTTCCATGTCTTCTTAGAAATTCAGGATTGCCTTCTTCTGTTTTCAAAATGTTTGTTAAATAAATTCCTATAATAGTGAATATACAAAAATGCACAATGTAATATTTTTCTAATAAAAAAATAATTTTTTTGGCATGGAATATTTCAACATACTACCAAGAGACTTGTGTAGCTGCAAGGTGATGCTGAAGGGTATCTCTAAGTTATTTTGCCAATAAATTGCGCTTTCTATAAGCAACGCTTAGGCTAGGCTACCAAACTCTCCCTCCAAAATTCCCCATTGACTTGTCTTTTCTTCAGAACTTTATCTCCCCTTCTCCAGATCAATATCTGTATCCTGAAAAGCCAATTTTGGATTTGTGCAGGAGAAATGGAATTCCATTCTTCTGCTGGAGAAAAAAGAGCCAAATAACAACTTAGTATTGCCCGAAATAGTTACTGACTTTATCTAAGTTATTTCATACTCCTTACCAGAATCTTGTTTATAAAGTCTTTAGAATCACCCCTTAGTTCTCATGCTCCAACAGTAAAGGCTATAAACAAACCTAACTATAAATACCTTTTCAGTATACTCATCTCCACATGTTTCCATTTTTCCCTGGTACTGATGCTTAATTTATAAGCTTTTTAACCCATCTCAGTTTCTAATAAGACATTAAATTAGTTTTCAAGCTACAGTGTAACAGGAGAGTATAGTTTGACAGGTCTTGGAAACCTTCAGTACTGACACATGGGTATAAAGATAGAAAAAAAGGGATATGCAGATATGCTCATTCATGATATAAAAAACCTATGGTATATGACACTGTGATAGTTACAGCAAATCAGCTCTTTGTCAGAACACAGAGATATTATATTTTGCTGGGCCAAATAAACATAGAACAATCTGGTGTATCTTCATCTCTACTCTCAAGGTTTTTCCAGTTCAGTTACACAGCACATTAAAATACACATATTTTTAAACAATCTAGGTAGCAATTTGCTTTGACACTAAAGCTTGCAAATATCTGAAAAATCACACCAATTCTTCTCACTGAAATGTGTTCAGAGTGAATTTTTGATACTGAAGTTGGATGTGCTTTTGATACTTACAGTCATTCTAATTAACAGCAAATATAGGCAAGATGTTTAAGCAAAAAATGTTCCCATTTACTGATTCTACAGTTTATATTCTTTATACATCAATATTTGTGATTTTATCTTTATCACAAATAAAATCCTACTTACCAAAGAAAGGCACACATGGAGGATTAATGGACCTGAGTTTTGCCAAGTATTTCTTATGGTGATCTTCACTCAATTCATGAGCTTCTTCAAAAATCCTTTTCTGACGGCTTGGCATTTGCTGAAGATATACAGAGAAAGGTGAGGATACATTTTGCCAACAGAAAATCACTGACTGTACTATTACAGGTGACTGCCCAGCCTGGCTAAAATGTGTGAATCCATCTACAGGATTAATCCCCTTCCTTGCACAATGCTTTCCATGCAGAAAAATCTTAATGTTCAAAATGGCGATAAGATCTGCCTATATTGTTTTATTTCCTTCCTTATTCTCAACTTTTGTTTTCAATGGAAAGAAAAGGTCATTAAAACAGTGCTTTCGATCATGAAGAGAACCATGATTGGTTCAGACAAAAATAGGGGATCTGATGCAGAGCTAAAATTGGATAAAAAACACAAAGCAGAGTTTTTTTTGTTGTGTGTAACTGGGATAAAATAAATATTTGTGTTACTCTTTTGTTTTAATTCAGACTAGAGATGATTTCTATGTGAGGAAAAAAAGGTTTTAATTAACTTTTCTAATGTTCAGACCAAACATATATTTTAAAAAACAAGTTTCTTTAATGAAAAATACTATCTATCTCAAGTAGAAGTAGTTTAACTATCATTTTAGATCTGCATTTCACTTACTTCAAAGGTGTGATCCAGTCTGTAAATAGGTGCAGAGTTCATAGCACTGACGACTTCAAGAACGCCATTAAAATTGTTTAGTTCTTGAAAAACTTGCAAGATTTCAATTATCCGACATACTACCATTACTCTTTCTTCTAGGTTTTCTGTTTCTACAATGCATCTAGATATACAGACAGCATATTTAAATTTCTTCTTGAATTATTAGTAATGTAAAAGCATTATCACAAATTCTTTTTCAAGGAAGTGTGACCTAATTCAGTCTTTTCCAAATACTTAATTGAACTTGAAACCCATTTCTTTTCAAATTAAAAGGAAACTATCCATACACAGCAGAAGTAATGTACATTTTATAACATACAGGGAAGTACCTGATTTCAAAAGGTTCTGCTCTGTGTCAACAGTCACTGAACTAAATACATTTCTCAACTGAAAAAAAATCATCTAAAGCAGAACTCACCCAAAGTACAGTAGAGGATAATGACTAATGTAATGACATTCAATGCACCTATACCACTGCAAAACTGGTCTAGTACCAATACATAACTTAATATTATCTGCTGCTGTTTGATACAAACCACAGAAAATATAAGTAACAACGGCTTTTGATGTAATTCTTTCCTGCTTAGAACTCAGTCTCTGCTACGTTACATCATAGGAACCATGCAAATACCAACACTGATCAATGAATCAAATTAATCTTACTTTTCAAACCACAAGGTAAGATTAGTGGTATGTCTTATCATTTTGAGCAGGTTAGGAGAATTAATTTCTTTATCTTCTTTTGTCCATACACTTCCAACGAGCTCTGATGGCTGCACAGCTCTACCAAACATAAATTCAAAATAAGGTAAGATTAACTGGTCTTTCATCAAAAATATTTCCACTTAAATCAATAATTCTGAATTAGACTAATAAATGAACTGATCTGCAGTGTTTCTTTTGAACAGCTTCTGTTGTTCATGGAAAGAAAAGCATGTGGTTTAATAGCCAGCTCTCTCCATAGCCATTAGTGGCTGGCTGGCTGGCTTTATTTATTTATTTATATTTCAAATTTGTCACCAATATGCAAAGAAATTTTGACCTTGCAAACCATTATTTTAATTTTATTAAATGAATAATATACAATACCCAACATACAAAAAGATATTCTCACTTTTAATTACTGCCTGTATTAAATGTACATTAAAAATATAGGCAATTATACCCTAGAAAATGAAATACAAATAACTCTGCTAATAAAAATAAATGGCAGAAAGACCCACGACAAAAAAATATTTGACAGGTCTATATTCTAATAAAGAATCATAAATCTCAAAGGAAAAAAGGCACTACCTGTAAAGTTCTGATTCAAGTAGAGTAAGCTGTCGGGCAATTTCTATTGGATGCAAAGTGAGCAGGTCGAACGTTTCAGTTTGTCCTTGCCTGCTTATATGCCACTCAATTGGAGGTGGTGAGCTTTCAAAAGTAATGTTGTGACTTGGCCCAATGGCTTGTGCTTGCTTTTTCCTATGAATTATCTTCGTGATTGACTCAACCCATTTTTTCATAGCTTTACCTGAGAATGAGTACAGAAACATGTTTACAGCACTGTAGAGCAAGTTTTAAAAATTAAGTGCTTATTTCACACACAAGATCATTGGTAAAAGAATGCAAGAATTTCAGCTAGCCCAGCTTTACATTAAAATGTCCCAAATTACAACTGCTACTTGTTGAAAAAGGGAAACCTCCTTTTCTGACATGTGAAAAAATACATGCAGAAGCATGTAAGAACTGGCTGTATAGAGGAAAACGTTGGTATCCTATTTTATCTCAATCATCTCTGAATTAAATCACAAAATAAACCTCCATAACAAGCAAAAATGCCATGTCACACAGCAGTTCCAACTAAGACACTGTAATGATTGCATTAGAGAATGAAAGCTTTACACTGTCAGTTTTAGGCTTAAAACATAGAAGGCCCTATAGTATGAGATAAAAATATGTAAGGCTTACGATATATTCACATTTCTAGGTTGCCAACTATTCATGGAGGACAGGTCTTCTACTCACCTCCATCCTCCATGGCTGTGACCTTTGCTCATGTTGAAAGTGTTTTCCAGCTCTTGCCCACTCAAATGTTGTCTCGTTTGCCTGCTGTGCTTTACTTTCTTCTGGCAACCCCATGTACTTTGATTGGCTACTGCACAGAGTAGCTCTGTTATAAGGTCTGCTGCAGCTAGTATTGAGAAACAGGAGTCTCAGTAGCAGAGTGATTGTAAGACTTGCCAAGTTTGCTTTTTAATTACTATTTTTCTTTTCCTGCACTTTCTACATTTCCCCTGGACTTCTTTTGAAATACATTTTTTTTAAAATAAATTTTCCAGGGGTGGAAGCCTTCTAGTTCAAGTGATTGATAAATGATGAAATGGTGTAACAGTGGAAAAGTAGCTAGCTCAGGGAAGATAAATAGTAATTAAAAAAAGCCAGTTTTCACACCAGTGATATTCTACATGTCAGGCAAGTGATGTAACTATATGCTATTGAGACTCCTGTTTCTCAACTGCAGATGCAGCACAACTTTTTGAGCCAAACTGGGAAAATGCAAGAAAGGAATTTTTATTTTAAGCTGGTTGTTTTGCTTTCATATACGTGCATTTTGATACTTTGATTTTGTATATAGAAATTTAACTTTCTCTCTGTTTATTTGTATACATATACACACACACATACAAGATATATATGTCTAGTAAGACCCATCCACAGAAAGAAAGCAATGGATAATTGCTTTTCTAGAATGGAAAGTTGGTAAGGTAGAGCAGGAAGGGAAATGTCTAATGGGAGACTGTAACAGCCTTGTCCAAACAAGCTTTTCATAAACTAGCTTAGAGTTAAACTGGCATCAGCATAAGAAAGGAGCAACATAAGATTGGTGTGTGGACATGCTTCTGGCGTGCTCCTACATAAATTAAAATATAACAAATGCCTTGGATCTCTGTTGTTTTGATCAGGGAGATTCCTTTTAAAAGCACAATCTTCCTATCCAGTCAATCAATCAATCAATCAATCAATCAATCAATCAATCAATCAAATTCAAGTCAACTTCTACAGGGCTTTTTCACTATGGATGCTTATTATACCGAATTATAAAGTACTTTAGAGTTATTTTTTCTAATTATGAGTGATTATCTGGAGTTGGGCTGATACTTTATATTTAAGATTCCATTGTTTAAAAAGTATTTTAGGTTTATTTTCCTTAAACTAAACTGTTTAATGGCTGACCAACAAACCAGGCATGACTTATTAAAAGGCCCATAAAGAAATAAACATGAGTATTGGGGAAATGACACCGCTGTAATGCCATGTCAGACAATGAATACATGCTGACATTTTGCTAGCTTCTTCAGAGCAGATCTGAAACACTTGCTTTAATAAGCTAACAGCATGGCCAGTCAAGTATTAGCACACAGTTACTGTCTCACATGGCATTACATGGAATCAATTTCACCAATAAGGAACAGCTATGAAAACTACACTCAATGAAAATACAAATATTAGATATTTGTGGTCATCAAATACCTCTGACTGTGCCAATGAATTCTTCCAATCGTTGTAAAAGATCTACATCTCTCTCAAAATCATAGAAATGATGTTCCACCCAGTGTCGACATACATTTAATACTCTGCAACATAAATGATTAAATATTTGAGATCAATATTTATTCAATATATTTTAAACAGCACTTAGTGGGGCTGCAATTTGTTTCTGTTTACAACAAATGATACAATGCTATATTGCAGCAACTCATAGATAGTAGTAGCACACATCCTTGGAAAAGGATGAGAACAGTGGTTCTTCTAGTCTACGCAATCTCCCATCCAAGTTCTAATACTTGGACTAAGAGGCAAGTGTGTGCAGCAAGCTGATCACTGCCTAACACTCTCTATTGTGCAGAAAAGGTAGATCTCCCACAGAAAAATTCTGTCTCTAGAGATTGTAATAAAGCATATATTTTCTAGTGAAATTAAATGAAACTATAACTGTAAGAAGGTTCAATTTCTGGACTTTCATGAAAAGACTTTCTTCAGAACTGCAAAATTATACAAATAAACTTAATGTTTGTAAGAAGATTCAACAATACCAACCATATGTAAACTGAAGGTCCCACAGCAGCAAGATTACACTTTGTGAAGACTATGAAGGATCCACTATGTTAATGTCCCAAAACAGTTATCCTTTTGTGATAACTCATTGCTTTAGCTCTTTGTCACAATGAATCATATACCAATCATAATTCTTGTAAAACTAAGAAATATTGTTCTCTACAAAAGAAACTCACTTAAAGTTATCTGACAGCTAGGTTATTCCAAAACATCATGGAAAGTGTATTAGTAATCCAAAGCTACAAGAAACCAGCATATATGAACAGCGTGCTTATGCATGAATGTAGAGGGAGAAATGGCAACTATTTGGCTGCAGCACTTTATGCCAGATGAAGTATTGTTAACTGGAGTATGGGAGGATTATATAAATTTTTAATTTGCATTTTAATTCTAAACATGCAAGATGTATTGTCACTTGAATGAGATTTTCTAAGCTGTTGAAGAAGTATTAGATGAAAAAGATCATTTTTAATATTTATTGCCAGACTGGGTGATCAAGTTCAAGCACTCTTGTATTTAACAGTCCAACAACAGATTCTCCAGAACAAAAGCCTAATTGTTTTGTATGTGATGGTGTCAATGCATTTGTTCTAGGTTGAATACATACAAATCTTGTAAGACCTACTGTCAGCCCTCCCAAGTAAACCAGAGAGGAAACACAACCAGATGAGCTACTTCATTGATAGGCTACATTAACCGAATCTTGCAAGTCCGAAAATACACATCTCCCGCTGTCCTTATTTACCGCCTGATCAGTTAGGGAAGGTCCTTTCTAAGTTTCTTTTGTCCATTACTCAATTGGGGGCTCCTCCCCCTTTTATCAGGTCATTACCTAGGCAGCATCTCTCCACCTTTCGAGGTCATTCTCACAGTCCATTACACCTACTGACTATATTAAATTCCTAGAGTGGAAAGCTACATTAACTCTTTATGCATTCTGTCATCTATCTCCTAATCAATATAGATGTTTGGTCTCTGCTAAATATGAACTTAAAACCCATCATTGGACCCAAAGATTCTGGACAATTTTTGACTAGTCTCCAACATTCCCTTTTTGGGGAAGGTTGTTGACAAAGTGGTTGGACAACAGCATCAGAGGATCCTGGAAGAAACAGATTATCTGGACCCATTTCAGTCTGGGATACAGTACAAAGACAGCATTAGTTGTGCTTGTCAATGACTTTTGGTAGAGCTAGAAAGGGGGTGGTGCATCCATTCATTTCTCAGCAGCTTTCAATAATGTCAATCATGGACCAGCTGGGAGACTGGGAACAGGGGTCACCATGTTGTTGTGGTTCATCTTTCTTCCCTTGTGGTCTGTCCCACTTATTATTGGTGGGGAGGGGGAGAGATTGAGCCCAGGATCTCTTATTTGTTTTGATCCTCAGGGCTCAATGCTCTCGCCCCTTTTGCTTAGCATCTATATGAAACTGCTGGGTGAGATTATCTCCATTTAGGTATCATCAGTTTGCGGCAAGGAGACTGGACTGTGGGAGTCAGTTCTTTTAACTCCTGCTCTTTCAAAGCTCTGCAGGTTTTGTTCAGGTTACCTACACAGGGAGATCTGTATCAGTTTGCTGATGATACCCAATTGTATATCTCGACCAAAGGCCAAGTGATGCTGTTGAGGTCCTGTCCCAGTGTCTGGAAGCTGTGTGGATTTGTAAGGGGAGAAACAGACTCAGGCTCAATTGTGCCAAGCCTGAGTAGCTTAGGATATCTGGACCCCTCTGTTCTGGGGAATTTCCATCTTTAGTCTTGGATGAAATTGTACTTCTCCACTTGAGACAAGCATGTAACCTGGGGTTTTGTTGGACTTTCAGTTCCTGCTTGAAGAGCAGATGGCAGCTGTAGCCAAGAAGGTCTTCATACAGATTCATCTAGTACAGTTACACCTATTCCGGGCTTGGGAGCCCTTTCAGACACTCATACCCTAGTCACCTCATGAAAGGACTACTGCAATATACTCTACATGAGGATGCTCTTAAAGACCATTTGGAAGTTACAGCTGGTCCAGAATGCAATAGCATAAGCAGTGATGGGCACGCCATGCAATGCTCATGCAATGCCACTGCTTCATTAGCTGCACTGGTTTCCAGTTGGCTTTTGGGTGCATTTCAAGGTGCTATAATGCCCATTATAGCAAAGGACCTGGCTATTTGAGGGATAGTCTTTCTGTTTCTGCCGATCAGGCAGAGTCAGTGTGCTTCAAGTCCCTTCAATAAAACAATGCCATCTTTGGGGACCCAGGAAGCATATCTTCTCTATCTGGAACAACATCTGCCCAGAAATCCAGACAGCTCTCACCCTGATACATTCAGAAAGTCACTGAAAACCTGGCTGTTCTCACGGGCCTTCTGACAATACTAGATTTTAATCAGTGTTCTTGCTTTAGTTCACAAATTAGAGAAGCAATAATTGTTTTTGATATTGAGAAAGCCTTTGGTATGACTTCTTGGAAGATTTTGGGACAGGTTTTGACTTATTTTGTGTTTCCCCGGAATATTAATTGGATTGGATTGTTCTCTCAAATTTCTCTCAAATTTAAGTGAGAAGTGATTCATGGTATTAATCAATTAACCTTCATTAAAACTATGTCTAAGTACATACCAAGAATGCCCACTTTTTTCTCTTTCTTTTAAATTAGTGTTAAGAATCTCTTGCTTATTTAAACACAAATTCTGAAATCATTAATGGAATTATACAGGAAACATAGAATATTAGATCCTACTACATGCAGATGATTCATGGTATTAATCAATTAACCTTCATTAAAACTATGTCTAAGTACATACCAAGAATGCCCACTTTTTTCTCTTTCTTTTAAATTAGTGTTAAGAATCTCTTGCTTATTTAAACACAAATTCTGAAATCATTAATGGAATTATACAGGAAACATAGAATATTAGATCCTACTACATGCAGATTATACATTTTATAGACAGATCAGAAATTTCTATTGATGGTTGAAGATCTGGCAATTGTCACTTACACATTTACATGAATTTAATTAATATACAAGTCTACTGTCATGCTGAATCATTTTCCAAACTGAAGTAAATTAGATTCCATGCTACTGGATCATAGCAAAAATTAGGTCAAGAATTAGGGTTTGGGTTGTGTTTTGTTTCTGTATTTATCTTGGCTTAAGAATTCCCAGGAAGCTTTCTGAACTGGTACACCTGAATTTATTTCTTCCTTTGATGGAAATGAAAGAAGATCTAGTTAGACTGTCTTACAATTACTTTGACTATTTGGAGAAAGACAAATGTGATAATGATCAATTTAATGCCAAGATTGATTTACATTGTAAGAGGCCTTCCTATATTCACTGCATATTATTTTAAATGAATTTATAAAATACTGTATATATTTTTTCTGGCAAATACATTCTGTATGATGTTACTGTGTACATTATATTGACCTGTTGGGAAAAGTGGATTTTATCCTATGGCATTTATCCTAGCTTCAATCATTAGCTGAAATAAGGAACTTCAGAATCTAACTATATTTTTGGCCTCAACTTGAAAGTTACTAATTGGCCCCACTAAAATCCTGGCAAATAGTGGGATCCATTTATGCAAGGTTTCATTTTAATACCTATATTAAATGCCATAAGATATATATGCAGAAACTATTAGCTCAAAGTTAAAATTTCGATTTACCTACCTATTACAAGCATATATTATAATATATTTCAATTTAAAAATAGTAGGCAAATATAATTTTTTGAGTAAACTGAGCCTGTCACAATATTATTACTTTGGATCAAGTGAGTTCTGAGGAAGCTATTTTTTAAAACTCTGGCAAATTATAAAAAGAATTTACCTCAGAGTACTTCTTGGCAGTTTAATCAACTTAAGCCTCTGTTATGCAGTCTAAAGTCCAGCTGTTGTTGCTGCTTTTGAAATTCCATAATGGTTGAAGGTATGAAAGAATTAACTGTGACTCCTAAGACAGCAGCTCTTTTTTAAATAGGAAGTTGATTTGTATAACTTCTGGAATAATGAACTTGGATGTCTTGCCCTGGTAAACCACTGGAAGGTTGTTTTAAATAACATGAAATCATTTTTCTATTATCTTAAAATGATGAGCAAAAAAATTTTTTTTTGGTTTGAGTATATTGGACACTTCAGGGAATGTTTAGTAAAGGTCAGGGCTCCTACTGGAGATACAATTCAGCAGCTGGATATTATTTCATATACAGTGGGGCAAAAAAGTATTTAGTCATCCACCAATTGTGCAAGTTCTCCCACT